CCCCCATCTGTAGAAGTTACATTAGTACCTATTTTAGGTGAAGATACATAATTTTAATTAATTTATTTGTTCAGTAACACAGAATTTGTATCAGAGCACTGCAGATTAGTTATTTTAGCATACAGCATTAGCATTTAGCATTAGCATCAGCAATAAAAGAAGTATCCCCTCAGGGATCTTTTTAGTATTACTGCTTCCCCATGCTTACTCATGGCTTCTGGACATTGTCATCACTAATTTGCCAGCACTGGGACCAGGAGTTCAGGCCTGCAGTTGTATTTCTATTTCTACACTATGTACTATTACCCAAGACTAGCTTTCCACAGGCCAGTTCATTTCCAGTTTGGAGTCAAACCCAGGCTGCTCTCCCAGCAAAAGGTGTATGACAAGCTATGAGCATAGACACACTGGGATATGAGCTGGCAGAAAAATACCAAATAAAAACCAAATCAAGATGTGTGCTATCATCTTTCAAGTATGTTAGACTTGCATTCTCTCTGTACAGGGAAGATTCTGCATTGCAACAAAAGGAAACCTAACAACTCCATGCTTGCCCTGTAATGGTTCTCCTGGTATGCCATCAGCTTCCAGCAAATTATCTGTTTAAAGGATACACGTGCCAGAAAAAATATAAAAAAGACACCAACCCACAAAATAACACCCCAGTAACACACAGACGAAAATATGACTAAATTTGCCTCCTAACATTTCTTCCCCACGAATTTGCTTGCTGGTGTTTTGTATCACTTTATACCTCTGACCTTCAAAGCACCCTGTGGCAGCATGTTGGGGATTATGTGCTACCTAATAAAGTACATCTCTTGGTTTAGAGCTGCACTATGATTTCATCTGAGCTTCGGAAGCTGCATACAACAACAATCAGCTAATTGTTTCCCACTCACTTTGTCCTAGCTGCTTTTCATTTTAGATGTTGCTCATATTTTGCAAGCGATAATACCCTGCTGTTTCCCCAAAACTGAAGACAGGCTATACCTTTTGATTGCTAAAATGGATACAGCAAAAGTTGTTGGGTATATTCAAGCTCTGGGAACAGCACTGATGCCTTTAATGTTTCAACAGTTTTTCCATTTAACTTTTTCTCTTTTACTATCCTTGCCTGCCCTATCCCTGGAAACATTCAAAGTCAGGTTGGACAGGGACTCCTTTAAAGGTCCCTTTCAACCCAAACCATTCTATGAATCTGTACTAGCCATTTGCTTCCCTTTTTAACAAACTCCTTAAATATTTTCTTCAGGTTGATCACCGATTTTAAAATTCTCTTCTTCTGATAAGTGATGCAGTAAAAAAAAAAGTGAAAGCCATGCACTCTTTAAGCTGCATTTAAAGACATAACAGCATCTGTTATATTAGAATCCAGTTCATTAGTATTGAGAATCTAATCTCCCTTGAAATCTTTAAGTCTATAAATCTCTACCTTTTTAGCATCTGTGAATATGCTGAATAGCACAGAGTCTAACAACTAACTGAGTCTCAAATCTTCATCCCTTTATCACTTAAGTGGGCTATTCAGTTTTATCTTTACAAATTGGAAAGAAGTTTTCTCATTTATGTTATTATGCCTCATTTTCTTCTCCCTGAGAGCTCTTGGTGAGCTTTTATAGGAATACAGATTCATCAACTGTATCGGCATTATCCCTACACCACTAACTTACTTACAGACTAATAGAAGTGTGAAGCACAATCATCCCTGGAAAAAAACAGGGCCTTTTACTTGAATGGTCTGAAGTCTCTAGGAAGGCCAGACTCACCTGCAACTTACTGGAGTCTTTCCTTGTTCAAATTAAGTCATATTTGTTATTATCCATTCTTAATGAATTAACATGATTTACATGCTATACACTTGATAACTGTTCAAAACCTCCATATACAAAAAAAAATAATCAACTAGATCATCAATTTTACTAATTTAATGAATTCTGATTGCTGTTAGAATCATAGAACGTATGTTATCACTTGAGACAGTGCTTCAGAGCCACTGTTTAGCTGAGAGAGGCTCCAGCTGAAGAATCTCTGAAATGCTTTCCACAGCAAAGTTACAGCATTTCTTTGTACTTTCCCTGTCCAGCACAACTGGTTCAACACCATAAAAATTATCTGTTCTAAAAAATCCAGTTCTCCTATCTGTTCAATCAGAAGCAGTAAGTAGATTTTGCTGCACCCTATAATGTATTATTCTAGGGCATTAAGCAGCTTCCGCTTAGTCTGCTCCAACAGGCAAACTATCACAAGCCACTGGAAACACCCCATAAACTGCTATGATAAGCATGTTGCTCATGGCAAGTTTCAGAACTATGGCTGAGGCTACCTTTATAAAAGTAGTAATCAAAGGCTGCATAGAAAAAGACCTTAAGTTTTGGAAAATCTTCTGCCATACAATTTGAAAAATTCACCCCAATACACCCCAAAACAAACATGGTTTCCTCTGAAGTGTGGTCTACAGAATATTTCAATCCAAGGATCCCTTGGCCACCCCCAAGAAATAATCAAATACTGGCTTAGATTGCAAAAGCTGTGAGGCAAAACTTGTCTAATGGTAAGTAAAGGGGCCCATCAATAGCAAAAGTAGTTCAAGAGGTAGTTCATGCACCTACACGCACTTCTTAATTCATACCATATGCACCTCTGGCAAGTCAGGGTTTACTGGACTGCAGTCCTGAGTCTTTGCTCCAGATGAAAGTTTCGTTGTATCTGCCACTTCACCGTTTGGCAAAATACCATCAGCAAACCAAACTCTCTTCTGCTCTTTGGGGCACAGCCCTAGGACAGGTTAAGAAAACAACACTGACTTCATGTTACTGTACCATTGTAATAATTGAAAAGGATAAAAATTAAGCCCTTTCTCCCCTGAAATACATAGAGAATCTGTTTACAGGAGCCAAGCAGACGTTGGACACCAGCCCATCTCCAGGTAGGCAAATATAGGCAAAGAAGAAAATTTCTATTTGCAGAGGAAGCTCCCATGCTATAGTTATAATCTACCAGCTCCTATATAAGGAAGGCTACTTCTCAATCATCCTTCTGTAGTGAAGTGAGAATAAAATACATATCACAACTGAAAGACGAAATACACTCTAAAAATGTTAGCTTATCACTTTGTTAAAAAAAATTATTTTCATTAAAGGTTTGATGTTTAATAAAAGTGGAACTAAGACACAACTGGGCCACTCAGTCATATTTATACAAAGAATGACTGCCCACTGCTCTGTAAAAACTTTCCCTAAACAGCTACTTTTTGCTTTTACTCTAAGGCTGGCAGACAACACAAGATACCCTAAGCTGTATAAAACGATTAAAGTAGTATATGCACAAAAAAAACCCAACCCGAACCACAATATAAACAGAGAGGACAATAAAAAAACCCCACCCATATGTCATAAATAGAGACTTAAGACCTTCTGGGCAAGCATCAAAACTGGAAAACAGAAGTTAATTTTTCAGTGGCCCAGCTCACAGAGTTTCCATTTCCAACAAAAAAATATCAGTACACAAAGTATATATCTATGATGCAATAAACAGCTCTTTTCAAAGAGATCCTGCGAGAGTTAGATATATTATAGTAGTTCAGCATACCTTCAAGACCAGGTTGTTTAAGTACTGAGATAGGTAGCACTCCAGAAGGTGAAGGAGTGCTAGCACCAACAGGTATCTGGGCTTCCTCCAAAGGTGAAACAGCAGAAGAATACTCAGAGGAGACACTGGAACTGGGCACAGGACCAGTGGGACTCATCATCCTTTCAAATGCCTGTGCTGAAAAAAAATGTGGTTAGCTCTTAAGACTTCACAGTTGATTAAATGTAATTTGTAACACAGTGTTAAGAGTGGGTTTGGTTTTGTTATTTTTTTTTTTTTTCAGAAGTAGTGCATAATTCACACATCTGTCTACCCCTGCAGTTACTACACTGACCGGTATGACGATCCCTGTACCTTGGTGCAAGTACATATATAACATTTATCAAGTAAAATTCCATTAATGTGACATATTTAAAATCTGCTGTTTTCAACTTATGTAGACTTGACTGTGAGGAGAGCGAGCAGTGGCTGCGCCGCAGGGCGTGTGGGTGAGAGCGAGGGGAGGTGCTGGGGAGGGCTCAGCAGGCGGGGCAGCTGGGAGATGGTCTCTACTCATTCAAAACCCTCAGGGAAAAGCAGCGTTGGAACCCAGGCTGATCTGCCTCAGAGGTGTGCAGCTGTCCAGGTGAGGGGCTGCATGGAGTGTCAGTCTGTCAGTCTTACAGGATGACAGAAAAGACAACACCTGTGTGTGCTGTGACCAGGTAAAGGATTTGCTCAGCCTGGCTGCTGAGCTTAAGCAGGAAGTGGAGAGGTTAAGGACCATATGGGAATGTGACAAGGACATAGATTGGTGGAGATGCACCCTGCCATCCTTAGGGAAAACGCAGCAGATGGTAGCTTCACAAGAGGCAGAAGATCCCCAGCCCTCTGGACACCAGGAGGAAGGAAGGGAACTAGGAGAGAACAGAGGGGAATGGAAGCAAGTCCTGGCTAGGGGTAGCAGAAGAGTTCTCACTGAACCCTGCCCATGTTTCCAGGTGCCCTTACAGAACAGATACAGTCTGGAGACAGGGGACCAGTCAAGCAATGATGCTGAAGAAGCCCCATCCAGGGAGCTGCCAAAGCAGCCAGCAAGGTGCAATAGGACTGCTCCTAAGAAGTTGCCAAAGCAACCAGCTCCTCAGATTAGGACTGCTTCTGAGAAGAGCAAGAGGGTGATAGTGAGAGGTGGTACCATTCTGAGGGGAACTGAAGGTCTCATATGCCATCCAGACCTTTCCCACAAGGAAGTATGCTGTCTCCCTGGAGCCAGGGTAAGGGAAATAACCAGGAAACTTCCTGGTCTGATATGGCCCTCAGACTATTATCCTCTTTTAATCTTTTATGTAGGTAGTGACGAGGTGGAGAAAAGAGGTTTGAGAGTCATAAAGATTTTAGGGCACTGGGATGACTAGTCAAAGGCTCAGGTGCGCAAGCTGTGTTCTCCTCTGTCCCTCCAGGTTTGGGGAATGATGAGTGGGTCAAGAACTACTCACAGATCAATGCCTGGCTCCAAAACTAGTGCTACCAGCAGGACTTCGGATTTTTGATCATGGTTTGGTTTACAGGATACCAGGCCTGCTGACATTGGATGGAAAGACCCTGTCCCACAAGGGAATAAGGGTACTAGGGCAGGAGTTGGTGGGACTCATTGAAAGGGCTTTAAACTAGGTTGGAAGGGGTGGGGGATAAAGCCAAGCTTACTACAGATGAGCCTAGGGGTGGTGCTCAGGTCAGCTAGTCAGGGAACCTCCCTGGAGGCCCAGCTTAAATACCTTTATACAAATGTACGCAGCATGGGGAACAATGAGAAGAAATTAGAGATGAGGGTGAGTCTGCAGGGATATGATCTCATTGGCACCACTGAGACCTGGTGGGAGGGCTCCTATGACTGGAGAATCAGAATGGAGGGTTATAAACTCTTTAGGAAGGACTGACAGGGGAGATAGGTGGGGGTGTTGCCCTCTATGTCAAAGACCAGCTGGAGTGCATGGAGCTCTCCCTGGGGATGGATGAGCTGAGAGCTTATGGGTTAAAATTAAGGGGAAGAAAGGCCAAGGTGACATCATGGTGGGGGTTTGCTACAGGTCACCTGAGCAGGAGGATAATACAGATGAGGCACTATACAGACAGCTAGGAGCGGCTTCACATTCACAAGCCATGGTCCTCATGGGAGACTTCAACCACCCTGACAACTGCTGGAAGAACAACTCTGCTAAACACAAACAATCCAGGAGGTTCTTAGAGTGCAAGGATTATAACTTCCTTTTCCAAGTAATTGAGGAACCAACAAGGAGAGGTGCTGTGCTGGATCTTGTCCTCACCAACAAGGGCTGATGAGGGATGTTAAGCTCAAGGGCAGCCTAGGTTGTAGTGACCACAAAATGGTGGAGTTCAAGATCCTTAGGGCAGCAGGGAGGGCTCACAGCAAGCTTACTACCCTTGACTTCAGAAGGGCAGACTTCAGCCTAGTCAGGGATCTGCTCAAGACACTGTCTTGGGATAACATCCCGGAGGGTAAGGGACCCATGAAAGCTGGCTGATATGCAAGGATCACCTTCTCCAAGCCTAAGAGCATTGCATCCCAACTAAGAGGAAGTCAGGTAGAAACTCCAGAAGGCCAGCAATGGGTGAGTAAGCAGCTCCTAGAAAAGTTCAAACCGAAGAAGGAAGCCTACAGGGGGTGGAAGCCAGGGCAGGTATCCTCAGAGGATTAGAGAGGCTCTCCGAGCAGCTTGGGATCAGGTTAGGAAAACCAAATCCCTGCTAGAATTAAATCTTGCCAGGGATGTTAAGAACAATAAGAAAAGTTTATTTAGGTATGTTGGGGAGAAAAGGACATCCAAGGAGATTGTAGGCCCTCTCCTGAAGGAAATGGGTGATGTAGCAACACAGGATACTGAGTGGCTTGTGGTCCTCAATGACTCTTTGCTTCAATCTTCTCTGGCAAGTGCTCCAACCTCAACACAAAGGCCAGAGCAGGTGAAAGCAGAGACAGGGTGAGTGAATTACCCCCCACATTAGGTGCAGAAAAGGTTCATGACCATCTAAAGAACCCGAAAGTGCATCAATCTATGCGACCTAATGGGGTTCACCCATGGGTCCTGAGGGAGCTGGAAGATGAAATTGCTAAGCCTCTGTCCATCGTATTTGAGAGGTCATGGCAGTCTGGTGAGGTTCCCGAAGGCACATGGAAAACAGAGGTGACTGGTGACAGCCAACAGGGCTTCACTAAGGCCAAGTCATGCCTGACCAATCTAGTGGCCTTTTACAACAAGGCTACAGAGATGGTGGATGGTGGCAAAACAACTGATGTCATCTACCTGAATTTGTGCAAGGTCTTTGACACTGTTCCCACATGACATCCTGGTCTCCAAACTGACAAGACATGGATTTGCCAGATGGACTATTTGGTGGATAAGAGATTGGTTGGATGGCACACCCAGAGAGTTGTGGTCAATGGCTCAATGTCCAAATGGAGGCAGGTGATGAGTGGTGGCCCTCAGGGGTCAGAACTGGGACCAGTGCTGTTCAACATCTTTGCTGGAGACATGGACAGTGGGATTGAGTGTCTCCTCAGCAAGTTTGGTGATGATACCAAGCTGTGTGGTGTGGCTGACACCCTAGAGGGAAGGGATCCATCCAGAGGGACCATGACAGGCTGGAGAGGTGGGCCAGTGCCAACCTCATGGAGTTCAACAAGGCCAAGTGCAAGGTCCTGCACCTGGGTTGGCACAACTCCAGGCATAAGTACAGGGTGGGGGGAGAATGGAGCAGTCCTGAGGAGAAGGACCTGAGGGTGGGAGGAGATGAGAAGCTCAACATGACTCCAGTGTGTGCTGGAGCCCAGAGAACCAGTTGTGTTCCTGGGCTGCATCAAAAGAAGTGTGGCCAGCAGGGCCAGGGAGGTAGTTCTGCCCCTCTACTCTGCTCTGGTGAGACCCCATCTCAAATACTGTGTACAGTTCTGGTGCCCTCAGCACAAGAAAGATACAGACCTGTTGGAGACTGAGAGAAGGGCCACCAAGGTGATCAGAGGGCTGGAGCAGCTCTGCTATGAAGACAGGCTGAAAGAGTTGGGGCTGTTCAGCCTAGAGAAGGCTCCAGGGAGACCTTACAGCACCTTCCAGTACTTGAAGGGGCTACAGGAAAGCTTGTGAGGGGCTTTTCAGACAAGATAGTGATAGGACTATCACCACTATCAGAGTGGTGAGGAACTGGAATGGGTTGCCCAGGGAGGCTGTTGATGCCCCATCCTTGCAGGTTTTTAAGGCCAGGGTGGATGAAGTTTTGTGCAATCTGGTCTAGTGGTTCCCTGCTCATGGCAGGGGGGTTGGAGCTTGATGGTCTGTAAGGTCGCTTCAGCCTTAGTGATTTTATGAAATGTTAATAATCAGGACCTCATATTTTTTCTCCTGATGCTTCCATAAGCATCCCTGCTTGGCTTTCAGTTAGGAAAAGGTTATCTTATGATTCAATTACTGTAGTATTGTTAAGGGACTTGTAAGAATATCAGAACAGAAAGCTACATAAAATGACCAAGTAATAGGTGAGAACTATGAAGGTTTAAACACACAGAAGGTTACTGTGAGGGAAGATCACTATTGCTAAACTCCTGCCACAGATAACACAACAGCCTCACTTGAGATTCAGTCCTGTGGAGCTTAACCCTACTTTTTTTTTTTTAATAATACATAAGCAGCTAGCTACTCAGAGTTTAAAACAGGAACTGAAATCCAACTAAGAGGTAAAATTATACTCTTCCTCCTTCTCAGAAACAGGAAAACATAAACCAATTAAAGTAGTGAAGCATCTCAAAAAGAACAAAGTTTAAAGAAATACCAGCTGTCCCTGTTATACTTCCATGATTACTACAATTAATTAAAAAAAAATTACCTTTATTAATATCATCATAACAGCCAGTACAGACTCTTGCTTCCTTCTCCATGTACTGTAGTTTGCACTTTCGCTTGCAACAGCCACCACAAAAAACCTGAACAGAAAGAAATTTAATTAAATACCATAGATAAAATCACAGCATTTTCTCCGTTGCATTCCTACTAAATTTTTTTACTAAACCTGATTGTATTATATAAAGTAGGCATACATATTTTTGGAAGTAAGGATCAAGAAAAGGAGCTTTAGCATATCTGTCTTACAATATATTTCTGTTTGAGAAGAGAAAAGACTAAAGAGGCTTTTATTGCATCCAGTTCTGGGGTCCTCAGCAGAAACTGCCTCTTCTACCTCACAGACAAGTGCCCAAACCAGAGGTCTCTGCTTCCCAAGCTATTTACTAATGCTGGCTCAGGAACTACATTTGCTTCCCAACTCTGTCAGAAAGAACAAATATTGCTGTTTTCATATTAGTAGCTCCTTTTAGCAAAATATTTAAAAAACACAAAGACTGCTTTGAAAGAATACAATACGGTCTTCTACTCCAACAGGATGTATTCTTCTGTCAATTTCTAAGCAGAGATTGGGAAAAAATGATCTCATGTAGCTTGGACTACACCTGAACAATCCCATCCAAAGAATTATGTCTCTGGTAAAGCTTTTTCTGCAAGAGTTCCTGCCGCTTTCCTCACTTTTACCTAATAATCTTTCAAGGGTGAATTGCAAGTTTTTGAAGTCCCAGCTAGAATTTTTATCTCATTTATTCTTTTTCTTGAAAGTTTACAGACAGCTCAACTATCTGAACTTTCAAAATTCCTGTCAGAAAATAAAAACAACAAACAAAATGAAAGAATACTAGACGCCTTCTGCTACTCCAGAGTATTTCCAGGAAAACAAAGTGGATTAAGGGGAAAAAAACCCACAAATAAACAAACCCAAACAGTAGTGACAGAGAAAAAAAAAAAATCAGTTATTACAAGGCAACTCCCTTAAGTAGGAAAAGTCACTGCAAAAACAGTAACACCTGATCAGTGTAATGTGAGCTCAAAAAATAAACCACTCTGATTGCTTCTGCATGAGGGTCACAGGTAATTTACCTCAACTGAAAATGCACATGCTCAATAAAGATGTTAAGAATGCAACTGGTGAAGATTAACTGCTAATCAGCCACAATCCCCCTTAGGGCTAAAAATGCTAAGCAGTACAATCCTTTCCAATTGGCATTCTCCTTTTACACTTGGTGACACTGGAACTGAACACAGGAAACAGCTTTAATCCTAATGCACAGGTGATAAGGGACTAAGGGACAGTAGGCACTAAGGGACTAAGGGACAGTAATGTATTGTGGAAAATGAGATTGAGATTAGGCTGCTGAGCAAAGAGAGTGATTATGGTCGAGCTAGGAAGAGGAAGTGTACCACAAGATAAAAAAAAAATTAAAGAAACTGTTAAGTTGTTTGGCCTCACAAGTTCTGCATATGGGAGAAAGCAGGGACCATTAACCTCACGCTTCTCCCAGTACAGAACTGAAAATAGTTTCAAGTGGTTGAAAACACAACATGCAACATGTCTGTAGCAGGATGCTCCATTTCTCAATATGCCTGCCTCAGTTTCCTTCTATGATTCAATTGCTTTTTGTCTCTCAATTTTGCAGGCCTGGCCTGAAGAGAAAGATTCCCACATGAAAGGAAAGGGCCCCTCTCCAATAACTTACCTTTCCACATGCACGACAGTGGTGTCGCCTTTTTGTAAATGTGAACTTGACTTGGCAGTTCATGCAGTTGGGTGCCTCTGAATCAGGAATCCACAAGGGCTGTTTCCGTGAGAGAGCTGCAGGCATTTTACGTGATTCTACATTTTCAGATGTTTGACCCCCTCCAGCTTCAGAGCTGCTCTCCCCAGAGTTCATATGTTCGGAGCTTTTACCAACATTTATGCTGCTGCCTGAGAGGGAAGTTTCTGGAGTAACAGGACTGGCTTCCTGGTTTTCTCTCTGAAGTACCTGAGTTCTATTCAGTTGTTTCTGACCTTGGCAAAGGCCAAGCATCTGCTTTGGTCTTGCACCTTCAAGATAAACATTAGAAACTAGTGCTTCACTATCACTCTCCGTCATGTCCTGAAGAGTCTCCTCTGTTGCAGATTCTGCTTCACTGGCAGAATGGGATACTTTAGGATTACTATTCACATCAGTCATCTCCTCCATTTCTGCTTTTGTATTTTCTTCAGTGACTTTTGTGAAATCCAGGTTTTTCACATCTGTTAAGTTCCCTTCACCTACATCAGCTTCCATTACGTTACTTCCATTGTCTGAAGCCTTTAACACATGGGACTGAAGGCCTTGTCCATACAAGAAATCATCAAGCTCAGCATCGCTTATTAAAGTATCACTTTTAATAACATCTTCCTCAACAGCAAAGTTAGCCATAACTGCACTCATACTTTCATCACAGTAAGAGTCTACACCAATACCATATGGCTCAGATTCATATTCTAGAAAAGCAGAAGCAAAAGCTTTGATTTGCTGAGAATCACTGTTATAAATTACATCCTCAGTATCTAACTTCTCTCCGTCTGTACTTTTTCCCACAATACTTTCATTGATTTTAGCTATATATCCTTCCTGCTCATGCAAGTCAGTGTTTTCACAGGATTCTCTACTGCAAAGATCAGTTTTAGACCTTCCAGCAGGAACAGTTAAAATATCACTAATAACCTCTGCCATTTCATTTTGAGGGAGGGGATTAACTTTTTCTTCCTTTACAACTAATGACCCACATATAGATACAGGCAGTGGAAGACATGACAGAGAGGCCTGGATGTCATTGGCTGAAACACAAGAATTTGAAACACCAGTTAGTATTTCATTGCTACTAACTTCTTTGTTACCTACATCCTCTTCTGTGATTTTCTTTTCCAATTCTACTTCAGCTTCTGCTTGACATGAGATTGGTAAAACACAATTTTCAGATAATGTTGCGTGGCTTTTGTGCAACTGAGGCCTCTCTGGCAGATCTGAAGGCATAGATTCAACCTTAGTCCCATCCTTTAAATTTACCTTTTCTATTTCATTTCTTCCATACGTCTCTTTGCTTACTGCAGAGCACACACTCTCATTTTGTGGTTCACAAGGACATTTTTCATATGCTTTCTCATCTTTGGGACTGTACGCATTTGAATCCTGTGATGCTACAGAGACACATGCAGTGTCAGGGTGAGCAATTTGTTCAGGCTGATCAGACACTTCACTGCACTTTGCAGATTCAGTCCTGTGTTGATCATCATATGGATCTGAGACCTTTGCTGTAGCATAACTGTCTGATTGAAAACCTAAATTACTAATCTCCTCTGTTTTAAGGTGTCCTGAATCTTCTAGCACTGAGTCCCCATCATTCTGCTCTGTACTTGAAGCACCACTGCAACTTGCTGATGACCCAGAAGTCGGAACAGGTATGCAAGATATGCCAAAGCCAATTGAACCTTCACTGCATGGCAAGTCATCTGGCTGTAACTTTTGAGTATCTTCATGAGCAGCCACTGAATGGATTAAGCTACCTGTGTCATTAACAAGATCACACACAGGTACACTACACCTTCCCAGGTTTGAAGCCTCAATTTCATTTAAAGAACTACTGTCCACAGTAGACAAAAGATCAGGTCCAGCAATGCTCTGCTCATTTTGTGGTGAGTAACTCAGAAGCACTTCACTTGTTTCAATGTGGCTAGCTAGAGGTATTTCTTCTGATGAATTACAATCATTAGCACCCTCTTGCAGTTTTGGTGTTGGGTACAGATGTAAGCAATCCAGAACTGAAGAGAGCGAATGCCGTTTTGAGTCATACAGATTTTGAGGTGTTCTGTAGCAGTCATTTTCATCTGTTTTCAGCAAAGACATAACAAAAGCAAAGGTTATAAAACTCTCCTCTTTTCACAGCACACTCCCTCTAAATTCCGTCTACTCATCAATACAAGCTTCTACTTAGCATACGCTACTTTCAATTCCACAGTAAATAGTAACTTGACCAATATTATTATGCTGGAGAACAAGGCAGTGGAGGAACTAACCTGTATTCTGTTCAAATTCATCAAGTAGTTTGTCCAAGTCACATACTGCAGCTTTGAAGTAACTGTCCATTCTAGTTACACTTATAGTGAAGCTTTAGCCTTCTTAAACCTAAAAAGAAAAACACAGCATTTAATTCACAGCATTTTGCTTTTACCAAATGTGAAGTGCTACTATTACAGCACAAACTCTGTGAGGCATTTTTTCATCCAATAACAGCAATTCCTTCTCTCTCCATGCAGACAAAGTGTAAACACAAACAGGACTGCAGACTGTCAGCCTCTATGTACTCTCAATATACTCTATAATACACTCGCTACACGATGCATAACACACTTAAAAAATTACCCTAAATCAGGAAATTGAGGCTGCCTTATTAAAAACAAATGTATATGAAACCATGTCCTGCAGTATTATAACACCAGGAAGTTTAAAACCAGAAGGGATACTAGGATCTTCCAGTCTGATCCCCTTACACATTTCACACCATGCAGTTCACAGGCAAAAAACCCCAGAATAAGCCATCATTACCCCTGCAACACAAGTGAACAGTTTAATGCATGATGCCTACATAATCCCGGACATTTCATGCCTTATGCTGCCGTAGGAAGCATAAAAAGTTTCCCTCTGATGGCAGAAGTGATAGCAAGAAAAAAAAAAAAAAGTACCTCCTTTAGCAGTTCAAACTTGACAACCAGTTCAGCACTGAGTATGTGGACAAGACACTTGAAAAACCCAGATTTCTCTTAGCTCCCTAGCAACCCAGCCAATCAACCTCAATTTACTTTAAGCTATGACCAAATGTTTCAGGTGCGAATAAACACAGGCTAACACTTAAAATATACCAGGGCCATAAAGCAGATAACCAGCTGAAGCACTGAAGTGTAACACAGTCATCTTAGCACAGAGCGGCAAAGCATTTAAGCAGGTTGAGGTCAGTACCCCTCCCCCACGATGACCAATGAGCTGTCTTTAAATCTGCTTCTTAAACCTTCCTCCAAGACCAGGAAATAAATAAAAAAAACCCCACAACAAACACAGCATGATAATTCAGCTTATCGTCTCTGTTCTACTCAAAACACAAAACTCATTGGTCAGCTCCTTAACTTCTTCTAAGACCCTCCCAGAAAATATATTTTCTTTAATTCTCTTTTTATAGACTTACTAACTCATCAAAAAGCTATCTGTTATTCACATTCCCTATTGCAAAACATCCCATTTCATTTGTTTAACAAAGATTACTAGGCACTCCATGTTATACCTCTTTGGTCACTCTGAAGTGCTTTCTAATTCCACACCTTTTTCATGTCTGAACACCCATTGTGTGCAATTACCTATAACATATTATCAAGAAATTCTTTACATGTCCCTGAAGTAAACTCAGATCCCTTTAGTGTAATGTTTGGATACTAACCCTGTGGAGTTGTCTCTAGTTTTTCTTCTACTCCTATCACTGCATTTAGTCTCCACACCCTAACCCATTCAATGTGCTTTGACCACCTAGTACTGTCTCTTTTCAAAAGCTTAGAGCCCAACAAAATACTTCAATCCCCTGCTACCACTTCAGCCACCCTGCAGCTACACATCTTTATGTCTTACATACTCCACTCATTTATTACCACAATAATATATGCACGTGACAAGAACACTTTTAAAAACTAATATATCATTCAAAGAGAGACTTGCCAAGCTCAAGAACAGTGAAACAAAGCATATGCATCACAACTTAATGCAGTACTTTTTGCCTATTTGTAAGCAAAAATTCAACAATTTGAATATATTACAGTATTGATAACCATGCCCATGAAACAGGCACTCCACTGGTCTTCAGCATGCTGCGTAATACCTCAAGGTCTCACACAGTTATCTGATCAGCATCCAACAGCAACAGGTACATACTTAATACATACACTCATTTGAATACAATTCTTGTCCGTAACAATCAACTTACTTCACAAAGGTGTGGCAAGTGGGAAATTACAACTTGTAAGGTTTTTACCTGAAAAAACTTCCAAGGTTAACAGCTTTTGGTGATTCATTGGGTTGGAAGTAGATGACCTTTAAGGCCCTTTCCAACCCAAACCGTTCTATGATTAAGATACTTAAAAGTACAGATCCTATCCTTAAAGCGTGTATTTATGAACAGCAACAAAACTGATGGTCAAAATTTATCTGGCAAATCATAAGAACTAGAAATATTGAGGGACTATGAGAAAACTGGGGATCAAGAAATACATAATCTTGATTTTTATTCTGTGTAGAGGTATACTATACAGCCTTACTAGTCAGATACAACTGCAGATACAGCTAATGTGCAGACTAACAGCTGTCTTGAAAGGAGGTGGTGTTCATGGCCCCTCACAACACTCCAGCCACACACTCCCCAGGCCTTTGTTTGTACTGGCACCCACTTTCAGCTCACCCCACAAGAAGCCAGGTCCAGGAGCTAGAAAGTTAGAAAGTAGTATATTTCAGAGGGTGAACGAAGTTGGATTCTCCTTGTTTCTCCATAAAAACAGGTCTCCAAAGAGAAACACATACTAACTTAGCACAAGGTCCTAGCATGGAGCTGTAAATATGGCCGCTTCACTCTTAATATCTACATGGAACACTACTTGCAGAGTTACAGCCCTTCAAAGCAAGCTCCCAATTCACCACAATAAGGATTTTAGTATTTTTAAAATCCAACACGTGTTTTTAAAAACGCTACTTGTTAATGAAAAAAACAACCCAATAAATTAAAGATGTCCTCTGAAATTAATTTTGTTCAGCTATCTCAATGATACCACTAGCTTTTATTAAATTATTTTTTAAAAAAATCTTTAGTTTTAGGTATTTAGAGATTGCTGTGCTGGATTAAGCCCACTAGGTCAGGTATTTCCTTAAGACATCTGACTATACACTGTAGGAGTAAGCCGCAAGGCCTAATGTCAAGAGAAGTGCTGGGGTGCTCACTTAAGCCAGAAAAACAAAGATAAGATACTGATGGATAGGTCACATTCTGAATATTTTACACCATTTCAAGTAATCGGTTCTCATCATGTCATTAGTCCTTACGTACATCTCACTTCTTTAAGTAGGAGCTAATCTCACTTGAACAGAGCACACTCATCACAGCTTTCCATGGGTTGGCAGAGATCCATTTTTTTTCTGCCCAGTTAAAAGTCAACTCTTCGTTAACTGAGTCTTCTTCAGATTCCAGGCAGAATAACTCTTTATGGAGCAAAATGGGCTAGCTAAGCTTGGTTGCATTTTCTGTCCAGTCAGATGATGCTTGGTCTCTGGCAAACTCCTAATACTGCACTTTAAACTGCATAAAGACAGACTCTTAAGAAACAGAGGCAATAATTCAACTACACAAAACCTGTTATCTAAGGGAAGCCAACACTGTGATCTGGATGACTGGAGCAATAAGTGCATTTAAAAAACACTTCATAGGCCACTTATTTTATAACCTTTATAACTCATTTCTAACATACCAACCATAGATTCCAGAGTTCAAAACCAATATTCCACCAGCAACTTCTCAACACACTCCCTGTTAGATAGAGAAAGGGCAAGTTACAGGATGGATTTTTATTTTTTTTTCCAAATACAGTCTCTCTAAATGGAGGTGGTTAGCAGTTTTCAGTGGTGAAATAAAAATGGATGTTAATTATTACCAGCTAACAAGTTTAATGCCCTATGATGACAAGCTGCTTTTCATTGTTTAAGAATGCCTGAAAACCAGTCTCTGTGGTGCGAATATACTTAGGCATTACCAGACCTCCACCAATTACAGCTAATTAGCACTGCAGAATCCAGGCCTACTTCTATACGGAGAATGATAAGCCAGCACAAGATCAGGTTTAGAGATACAGAAACACACAGGCCTTCACTGCAGAAATCTGATCACGACAGTCATCTTAATTCTAGGTTATCAAGAAAGTCTTTTTGCTCACTGCAAAGTTACATTATTTCAGCTCCATCATTGTGTTTAATCATTATATTTAGCTTAAGCAGGAAGCTATAATGAAGCTTTTGTCCTCTTAACAGGATTTATCTCGTTTTTTCCAGCTTACCCCCCAGCAACTGCCACAGCTAGAACAAAGCCTCTGAAAGAAACACAACCATTAAGAACTATGGAAGTTCTTAGGATTATAGAAGTGCTCATCAATCACAGCCTACCTCTTCTGCCACCCGGAGGTTATTTAATTAATTAGCAGCTCTCTCCTGCTCACCTCCCTCCAACATCCCTACACCATACACCTATCCACAGGCTTGAGGCTCTGCAGATAGAAAAAAAAAACAACAAAAACTAAGGGCACAACTGTCCCCGGAGTTTATCAGCAATCAACTTAACAGGGAAATTCATTGCAACTGAGCAAATGCTTTGTGAAAACCTAAGTGTTGCCAAATAAATACCAAAATCATTCTTGCTGAACAAGACAATATGTTATCCAACCCAAAACCTGCACTCTGCTGCCACTGCAAATTTCTAGCTAAATCAGAGGCTGAAAACAAAAAAGTTACAGAAGTTTTCTGACACTTAAGGAAAAGATTATGGGGCACACTGCAAAAAAAGTAACCTGCCTTACTTAAAGAGTAAGATCCTGTTAGTTCAACACACAACTTTTTCAGAACAGAACCCTTACGGATTGCTTTTTATCATCACCAACACACATCAAAACAACTCTTACCCTGACATCACTTCTGCCCCTGGAGATTATTCTTTTGTTCAGCCACAGTAATTTGTCAGTGCTTCTCTGAACAGAACACAGTATCATTCATACCACATGGAAAAAACTGTCTGTCAGCCAGTACTGATTTTCAGCAGTGCTCCAACACTTTAGCAGCCAGACCCACAGCTGAAGAATCCACTTGCTCAGCTGAACAAATGACTCTCACCAGCTGCCCCCAGTGCCATCACCATGGGTCGTATCAGCATTTATTACTCAGCATTAGAAACTGAGTCATGAGAACATGATTACTACATCAGGTCTGAAAGATCATTCCTCAACAGAAATAAGTGTTCCCTCAACATTCTCATCTGCTCTGATTTGTAATTAATAACTAGTACATTTAGTACTGACAGTCAGCTGGATCTTTTCCTGTACCCTACTTGCTTCTCCAAAATGTAGCAATAACCACTTCTCTGCCACTAAAGCTTGTACGTCAAGAGACTGGGAAGGTTTCCCAGTTCATTCTAAAGCATGTCTTTAAACATTAATGCCTGCAGACGTATGGTGTGAGCCCGTCCATGACACCCTGTACCCGACAGCAAAATACATGGAACAGAAACAAGCAAAAATACCACCAATATGTCTAAACCTTCAGGGGCAATTAATGCCCCTAAGCAACCTAATACACACCATACAGCTGTGAGAGCACTACGCAGCCAGCGGCCACAGTGAGCCAGGAGCAAACTGCAGGCTAAAACACCGCACGGATTTCTGTTCCACCACCGTTTTCCCTCTCCCAAAGAGCGTATTCACCGCCGAGGCTGTAAAACTCAGGCTGCACAGCCTCCCTGACTAACGCCGGCCCCGGTCACTTCTGCAGCACACAGCCCCTTCCCCAGGCCTGGAACGAACCCTCCGTGCCCAGCGCCAGCTCGGGACGCTTTGCTGTGCAAACATCAGGGCAGAGACAGGCGGGGAGCTCCTACACAGGAGCCGCTCAGCCTTGGGGACGAGACCCAGCGGCGGCTCAGAGCCCAGAAACCCCCTCCGCGCCCGGGCCCACGGCAGGGACCCCCGGGGAGGCCCGATGACAGCCCGTGACCGCCCCCTGCGCGCCTCCAACCCCCGCACCCCGCGTCCTCTCCCCCCCGGCGGCGGCGCGGG